TCATTATTATACAGCAGCTACCGAGTCTGTAGCCAGCACGAAAGTCTATACTAGAGTAGGTCATGAATGTAGAAGCCGCTCATTTTAGGACTACGTGATCAAACACAACTCTTCCTGAGTAATTTCAACAAAATTTTATTCTTTCGATATCTGCATTTTATTAAAAATGAATGCCTGGTCTTTCTTACAGCCCTATGATAGTCGGATTATAGGGAACTTTCACTAGCATCAAGAGAATTGTTACAAGTAAAATATCACGAGATCTGGAACGATTTCCTATAAGGTGGGCTGTAGAATTTAGTAGCAACAGAACACACGAAGTAGTTTAATTTTAGTGGTTGCACTAGATATCATGAAACAAAAATCATATTAAAAAAAAGTAGAAAGTTGTACACTTTGAGGGCATGATAGTAAGAACACGTGGCACGCATAAGACAAAACGCTCACAAAATTTTAGTCGGTCTCGGAATAGGGTGAACAGCAGACTCTTCTAAGACGGAAATAAACCTTACGATTCCATAATGTTCGTGATATTTTACAAATTGACTAACTATTAGATGTTCAAGAAGTGTGTTGCATGCAGTCAATTGCACATTTGTTGCGATACGTATCAATTTACGTACCGTGATAATATCTGAGCTTAATGTAAAGTTAGTGTTCTTCCTTTCCGCCAACAATACCAGTCAAAATTAAATGCACATCATAACTGTAGCGGACTCTCAATTATTAATTTAATAACAATCCGTTTAGCAGATTCGGAAACGAAACATTTGGACGGACAGACGGAAACTCCATGTTTTGCGCTCCTTTACACTCACTTCGTGAAAATAACGCCCAATAAACAGATCTAAATAGTGGTTGTAGACTACTCTGTGACTGAAACATTCCTGAATAATTATATTAAGTATTTGTTTAATACGCATAAAAGAAGTGCATGACACCTACTCAAAGCGAATTACAACAAAAGAAGTAAACTATTTCGGCCTACTGCAATTTTCATACTTTAATCGCAAACAGCAGCAAATGAATATGGAATAAAAAACGTGGGCATTTATAAGAAATCTAAGGCTACAGATCAACCACGTCCCCACAGACTTGTCAGCGGAGGTTCGGTAAAGATATCGATCGCGTCTTCTGGAATGTCGGGCTGACGATGGAGGCAGCAGGCGCCTCTAAAAAGTCGGTAAACATCAACAGGACTTCACGACGCCACAACCCAGAAGACAGATTTTTCATAGTTGCTGTCGTAATCACTTAAAATCTCCCACATCGATTGTGGTTTTACGGGTTATCAATGTTTTGGGTTAACTTAACGCTCACACTGAAGATGAAGGCGATACGTTCCCTTCGAAAAGTTGGTAACCGTCTACAAGGTTACAGGCATCTCAACTTAGAATCATGATTGACATTTCCATGCAGTTCGCGAGCCACAATATTACAACCACTAACAGAGCATAAATTATAATGTTCTGTATAGTTCCTTTAACGCACTTCATTGCGTCGAAGTTTTAAGTTTTCTCTCCACAGAACATTAACAACCCTTGCTTAGGACATTTGTGTTCGAGGGGCGTCTGAAGTCATTAATAATGTAAAATGGTATCAACACAATGACAAGACGTTCGTGGAAATAATCGATTAGTGCAGCAAACATTCCAGCCATACCGCCGGCATCGATTTCACGCGTACTATTTAACCGACTGTTTCTCTACACGAATTGCCACCGAACCAACTTCACCATGTCAACGGCGTTCAGAAATCTCGCCACTGATTTATGACCCCCACAGAGTGGCAAGACTTCCTATAATCACGAACTGATTGATTACAGTCTTGAGCGCAGAGAAAGATGGGTATGAATGATGAATACCGGTAGGGTAAGGATTTGGAAAGAGGACGGAACAAGAAAGAGTAATGGCAAACATTTAAACATGTCCTGAGAAAGTACTAGGTTCGAATCATGGCCGGTCCTTCAATTATGGAGACAAATTTCCTGTGGATGAACAGGAATTAACAACTAAGCAATTCTGCAGAACAGAACCCTTCTTGAGAACCTGAGAGTCGCTCAGCTAGTCAAGAAATTCTTCGTCTTTCAAGAACGCCGAAAATTCATTACCGCGTTCACAACATGTCACTGGGCCCTATTCTGAGCAAGTTAAAACT